AATTAATTAATTAAATTAAAAATTCCATTCCTCACACCAGCCACATTTCAAGTGCTCTGGAGTCACAAGTGGCCAGTGGATACTATACTGGACAGCACAGTACATTTCTATCACATCAGAGAGTTCTGCCGGACTGTTCTAAAGAGATTTAAGAAAGCGTACTTATCTCTTCTACCGATATTCAATCTCGCCCCGTGCGTGGTGTTATCAAGTCCACTAGTCCTGAAGATACTTCCAACAGAAATTTTATAACTGTCAGGGCCAGCAGGACTATTTGGCCTAGTCCTGCTAAGATGATGATGTGGTAATAAAAGTCCAAGATTCTTTCACATAAGTCAGGTAAGCACGCCGGCGTGGAAAAGGAGTCAACTTCCCAGACCTGGAGGTGAGAAGAGGGGCGATCACGAGGCTGGGGGCGGGGCCTCGCCTAGTGGGCGGGGCCTCAAGAGGCCGGGAAGGCGGCGGGAGGCGGGGAGGCTGCGCGTCCGCGCGCCAGCCCAGCCGTGCGTGCTCACGTGACAGGTCCGCCGGGCCAAGCTCGCGTCAGGGCGAACGAAGATGGCGGCCGAGAGGGAACCTCCTCCGCTTGGGGACGCGAAGCCCACTGACTTTGAGGAGCTGGAGGACGGAGAGGACCTGTTCACCAGCACTGTCTCCACCCTAGAGGTGAGGCCGCGTCGCCATAGGTGCTGCGCTGCGCCGCTGCCGCGCGTCTCACCTTTAGGTGCTTCCCGTGTTCCGACTTGTCCCTCCCCACCCCCCGGGTTTACCGGGACCTGCACGGGGTGACACCTGTGACGCGGGCCCCACCTGGGGTGTCTGTGGTTTAGGGGTTGGCCTGGGTGGCGAGGCCTCCTAAGGAGAGCAGCCTTCGGCCCCGGGGGGCCGGTCTGATCCTCTGAGCGGCCGGGCCCCGACGGAGCATCGCAGGGCTCCGTCCCTGCTCAGCTGGCCTTCCTCGGTGTCCGTGGTACCTCTCCTGCCTGGCTGGGAAGGTTTTGCCCTGGAACCCAATAAACCGCCACTGCGCTCACCTGGGGCTTCCGTAGCTTCTCTGGAGAGGTGTTTGCTTTCCCTTCCCCGGGAAGAGTGTCCCCCTGAAAGGGGCGAGCGGTGAAGTGAGCGCTGAGGGGCTGTAAGGAGCTGGGAGTGCACTTTGCCCTATCTTGGCCCTTCGTGGACCGCTAGTTCCCTTTGAGGGAGGTGCGTCTGTTTTGAACTGTTAAGTAGGTACGCGTTTGCCTGTTTTTGACTCTCTCTAGTTCTTAGACTTTTTAGGGGTCATAGTGTTTTTAATATATAAAGTTGAAGGAGGGAGTAGTCCAGGAAACTGCGCGCGCGCGTGTGTGTGTGTGTGTGTGTGTGTGTGTGTGTGTTAAGTTACCAGGGTAGAAATAGCAGCAGAGCTCTATTCCTTTTTCCTCTTTTCTCGCATGGTCAGCAATCTCTGAAGCTGAGTGTTCCTGTTTTTGTCAAAGGAAACACCCTCTATGAACATAACTATATTGGGTTGTCCTGTTCATGTTTGAATTGCTTTTCATTTGATGAGAGCAGACACTCCTCAAAGTCTTAATTTTAAGGCTGTTTATATATATTAAAAAATATAGCAAAGTGTCCAGAGGAGTGTTTACCTCAGGCTGTACTTCCTTATAAAGTACTTTTTAAATAAGCTTTCTTAGCTTCTTCAACTCTGCACCAAATCAATTAGAAATTACTATAAAAAATAGCCGTTATCTGAAATTCAGTTACCTGAAACTGGGAACTAAGGGAACCATTTTCAGCACACTGACCACGTTCAGCTAATTGCATGTGCGATGTCATAGCCAAACATCACCACCCCTCAGGTTATATAGGCTTCCTGGAGCTGGTGTTTTGATCATTTCTGAATTTCTGACAAAATGTTTAACATTTGTATTTAGTAAATGTTTGCTGGATTAATTTTCAAAACCAGCACCTCCTAAGGATTAGTAAAAAGTATTTTGCAGAAGACATTTTCGGAGGTTGTTAACCTTTGAGCTCTTTATATGTACTGTACCTTAACATGTTGAAAGTTACTGCCTGCAGAGTTACTACACAGGTCTGAAACTAAAAAGAAAAAAAAAAACAAAAAAAGAAGGTTACTGTCCTCAGGATGCTAAGACCTGTATTCCCTTTGGGGGTAACAGGTTTTCTGTCAACAAAAATCAGAACAAACTTGATTAATCCCAGCATGAACTAGAATACAGTGAACACTAAGCATTCTGTTTTAGTGAGGTCATCTAAAGTTGAATAAAAGGAACTATAATCTGTATTTTACATGTGGGTGGAACTTTAAAAATACGATTTTTAACCATTTTTCAGTAAAAATCTGCAAAGTTTGATTATGACTATTTTAAATTTAACTTTGTTAATGGTACTGAGAAAGTTATAAATACAGTTGTTTTTGCTTGTTTTTCTAAATCTCTTATTTCATGTAGTCTTTCTGGTTATTAATTTTAGAAGGTGGTATGGCCATGAGGTTTGTAAATTCGAAAATGTTTTTTTCTTTTCAAACTGTTTGTGATAGGATATATAGCAGTATTTTTCAGAATACCTAAACTTCTCTAAAGGAATGCTTTATTGGCTCAGTACCCGTAGCACAGTGGTTACAGCACCAGCCACATACACTGAGGCTGGCGGGTTTGAACCCAGCCCAGGCCAGCTAACCAACAATGACAACTGTAACAAAAAATAGCAGGGGCATTGTGGCGGGTGCCTGTAGTCCCCAGCTACTCGGGAGGCTGAGGCAAGAGAATCACTTGAGCCCAAGAGTTTGAGGTTGCTCTGAGCTGTGATGCCAGAGCACTCTACCGAGGGTGAATTTTTTTTTTTTTGAGACAGAGTCTTACTGTATCACTCTCAGTAGGGTGTCCTGGCATCAACAGCTCACAGCAACCTCAAACTCTTGGTCCCAAGCGATTCTCTTGCCTCATCCTCCCAAGTAGATGGAGACTACAGGCATCGGCCAATGCCCAACTATTTTTTGGTTGCAGTTGTCATTGTTGTTTAGATACCTGGGCCGGGCTCAAACACTCCAGCCTCAGTGTATGTAGTTGGCGCCCTACCCACTGAGCTACGGGCACAGAGTCAGAATGCTCTTTTAGTATTCTACTTTTCCTTTATACAGTGCTTCTCAAACTTTAGTGTATAGCAGAATCCACAGTATTCATCTTTAAAATGGAGATGCCTATGTCTCACTGGAATCTACTTTTTTTTTTTTTTATTAATTTTTCTTGAGACAGGGTGGTGCCTGTGGTTCAGTGAGTAGGGCATTGGCCCATATACCAAAGGTTGTGGGTTTGAACCCAGCCAGGCCAAACTGCAACAAAAATAGCCAGGCGTTGGTGGCAGGTGCCTGTAGTCCCAGCTACTTGGGAGGCTGAGGCAAGAGAATCACCTAAGCCAAAGAGCTAGAGGTTGCTGTGAGCTGTGATGCTACAGTACTCTACTGAGGGCAACAAAGTGAGGCTCTGTCTCTAAAAAAAAAAAAATTTTTTTTTTCTTGAGACAGGGTCTTCCTCTGTTGCCTGGATTCAACTGGCATCATCATAGTTCACTGCAATTTCAAATTCCCAGGCTCTAGACATCTTTCTGCTTCATCCTCCCCAGTAGCTGAGACTACAGACATGCACCACCATGCCCAGCTAATTTTTTTTTTAGTTTTTGTAGAGACAGGGTCTCCCTCTTGCCCAGGCTGGTCTCAAGCTCCTGGACTCAAGTGATCCTCCCATCTCAGCCTCCCAAAGTGCTGGGATTAGAGAAGTGAGCGACTGCAGCCAGCCAATGCTCTGCATTTTTAATAAGCTTTCTTGAGGACAGTGGTTCTGGTCTGTAGATAACATTTAGTTGAAAGGCCCTAATTGATGTGATTTTGTTGTAGGTCACCTGCCTTAGTTATTACCTAAGAAATTATTACCCAAACCATAAATTGAAAGAAGATATACGAATGAATGTTATTTAATTTCTTCCTCTTTTTCAAGACAGAGTCTCACTTCATCACCCTAGGTAGAGTGCTATAGTGTTATAGCTCACAGCAACCTCAAATTCTTGAGCTTGAGTGATCCTCTTGCCTCAGCCTCTCAGGTAGCTGGGACTATGGGTGTGCACCACAGCTCCTGGCTTATTTTTGTCTGTTTTTAGTAGAAATGATCATGCTCTTGCTCAGGCTGTTCTTAAACTCCTGAGTTCAAGCAGTATACCAGCCTCAGTTTCCCAGAGTGCTGGGATTACAGGTGTGACCCACTACACCTGGCCTATTGTTTTAACTTACCTTTCTCTTTAGAGTAAGTTGGTTATAGGCAGCATATTCTGTGTAGTTATTTTTGTGCCCAATTTGGCCATCTCTGTCTTCTAATTGGAGTATTTAGATTATTTTTATTTAATATAATTATTATCATGGTTGGATTAGATCTACCATTTTGTTTATTGATTTTTCCTTCTGTTTTGTCCATTTCCTTTTTCTCCTTTCTTTGGTATTACTTTAACTTTCATTAGTATTTCATTTTAAGTTAGCTACTGGACTTTTTGCTTACTATCTTTATACATATATGTTAGACATATAACTATCCTTTCACAGACAAATTAGGGTTAATATACTTCCTCAAGTAAAATGCAGAGTTTTATAACTATGCAGTTTCATTCATCTCTTTTATGTTATAGTTTTCATATGTATTATATTTTCTTGTGTTGAAAACCTTACCAGACAATGTTATAATTTCAATCTTCACACCTTATTTTAAATAAATAACTTAGAGAAGAAACAATCTTTTCTGTTTCCTTAGTTACCATTTCTGTGGTTCTTCTTTTATACCTGAAGATCCAAGTTTTCACTACTTTATCCTATCAAATAATATCAGTCCAAAGAACTTCTTTCAGCACCCTTTTTTTTTTTTTCTTTGAAAGCTGGTCTGGTGACAGCAGATTCCTATAGTTTTTCTTTTTCATCTGAGTCTGTCTTATTCCAGCTTCATTCTTTTTTTTATCTTAGACAGAATCTCAAGCTGTCGCCCTGGGTAGAGTGCTGTGGCATCATAGCTCACAGCAACTTCCAACTCGGGCTCAAGCTATCCTCTTGCCTCAGTTTTTCTGTTTTTAGTAGAGATGGGGTCTCACTTTTTGTTCAGGCTGGTCTCCAACTCAAGCAATCCACCCACCTTGGCCTCCTAGAGTGCTAGGATTATAGGCATGAGCCACCTCGCCTGGCCATGGCTTCATTCTTGAAGGATAGTTTTGATAGAAACAGAATTCTAAATTTATATTTCTATTCCTTCAGCACTTTAAAGGTTTTGTGCCACTGTCCTCTGGTCTCTGTGATTTCTGATGGACATTACATAGTCATTGTAATCATTTTCCTGAATGTAATTTATTGGGTTTTCTTTAGTTGCTTTGGGTGGCTTTTTTGGTTTTTGTTATTTTTTGTTTTTTGCTTTTCAGCCACTTTTTATTATGTGACTGGATCTTGTTTTCTCTGAGGATGTCCTGTTTGGAGTTTGCTTATTCTTGAATCTCTAAACTTATGTATTTCACCAAATTTGAGAAGGTTTTACCCATTATTACTTGAAATATTTTTCATTTTTTTCTTCACTCACTGCTTTCTTTCTGCCTCTGTTTCTAGGACTCCAAGGAAATGAATGTTAAACTTTTTAATA